TTAATAGTAATAATAATAATTAGACAGGTTCAATGATAATTTTTGAATGATGGCAATAAAAATTGGCCACATGCTTATTTCTTTGTGTATAATTTTGAAATTTATATGTAATTATTTTGTACATGTATTTACGAAATTTAGTATTTATTGAAATAATATTCGACGAGAGTTGCAGAAGAATCTCACAATGAAGTATTAGAAATTGTACTCAAGACACATTTTTTTTTTTTTTTTTTTTGATAATTTTTGATAATTTTCACGCATTGAAATCACATTACTAATAGTAATAATAATAATTAGACAGGTTTAATAATAATTTTCAGGAGGCATAGCTGCGGCGACAGTTGGCGCTGTGTTCTATGGGAACAGTCTGATGGGCAGCATCTTATTCTTCCGGTTGTCGTCACATTGGGTGTCGCTTCAGTGCGAATGGAGGGCCATGGAACGATACATAGACAGGTCGATATATCGTCGACAATTTTCCTAGATTCACGGCTTGGCACAATTCACGGGTTTGCTAATCGCGTTGTTTGCTGCTTATCTCGTGTACACGCGAGCCTGGGATGCCTATTAATTGCACAGGGAAAACTACAATAATTGGTTTATTTTAACGTGCAAGCGCCGCGACACCGAGAGATTCACCGATAATCTCATATCTGACTGCAAGCTTTGCCCTGCTTTCTCCCTCATTATGTATTTTACTTTTGTTAGCAGTTGTTAATGATGTGGATGTTTTTTTTTTTTTTCCTTCTTTCTTTCTTTTTATTTGTTATTCAGCGTCGACTTTAAGGTCTCATCTAATCGATCAAAAGAATTATTAATGACACAATAGACATAACAATATAATGATAACAATACTATCAGTAGAGATACGCAGAGCAATAAAAAATGTTATTAACAGCGTAATATAGTTATACGCAATATAACATGTAAAAGTACGTGACACATTCAGATAAATTTCTTTTTCAATTATAATTAAAAAGAATGGAGAAGTAGAAAATTAATTTATGTGTTATTCGCTCGATGTTATAGTAAATTGATTTAATTAAATATTATTATATTTAAATATATACTTTAATTTAATTAATTTATTAGACGTGGTCTGTTAAATTTTGTATTTTTATAATTTATTGAATTAAAATTTTATAATTTATTAAATGTTCGTATTGCCAAACGTTTCACAAATGCATAAAAATCCTCAGGAACAATCAACAGATCTGAATGTGCAGCATGATATTTCATGATCATAAGAACGATCAATAAATCTGAATGTATAGCATGGCACTTAATGTTTGTTTGGTGAAACACGCGGTAAAATTTCATGTGTCATTCTGCTGTACAGCAATTCTATAGAACCTACGCGGCTCCGATGGAAATTCTTCTTCCTAAGCACCGTGATACTGGTGTTGTCCTTCATAGAACATGTTCTGAGCATGTTCAATAGCGTCGAGGGATACGACTGGAACGCACCGAACTCAACGTTCCGTAATTTCTTGGAGATGTACACTCTACGCTCTCATTCATTCCTCTTCGACACATGTGAGACACATCACTCTTGAAACAGAAAATCGAAAACTCGAAGACGAATGACATCGTTTAATCAGGCTCGCCTTTTATTTCCAGTGGATTACAATTTTATCTTCGGCTTGTACATCTTCGTCGTTAGCAAACTGGCGACGTTCACGTGGAACTTCACGGATCTTTTCATTATGCTGGTAAACAATCGAAATAAATAACAATTTCCATCGAATTAAAAAACTTATTTTTCAACTGATTGTGAATTAAATGAAACGAAATGGAAGTATAATTGAATAAATTGCAAATGATATTAAACTGTGCAATTATAAGCAATTAGATTAAAATATAGGGTGGTCACTGAAAGACTGAATGATATCAAACAAAAATAATTTTTACAAAAACATGTAATTTTTAATTTTTTATTATTTTACTTGGAAGTATGATTAATGGATTTTTTTTTTTCAGTACAGGCACTTTCCAAATCCTTCAGTTTTTTTAGTGGCTACACTATAGAACAACTGAAATTAATTAAATTGTATTAAATTGTATTATTACAGCTGCATTGAAGATTCTGATGTATTTAAAAGAAATTTTAAATGCAGAATTAATTCAAACATCCAAAGTATAGTGATTTCTGTAAGATTTGGCATTCAGGTCTAATTTTTTAAATTACATTCTCAAAAATATTAATTTATATAAAAATCCACAGTCCAATTGTAACTATCACAGTTACTTTAATTAAATTAAGATATTATGTTAAAAGATAATTTTACATACATTATCTTACATACATTTTACATTATATCAAATTTATTAACAACAATATATATCATACTAAATGGAATTTTGACAGGTGAAAAATTATGCATCTACAAAGAGAAAGAATCAATTAAATATTCTTACACATATTTCTAGACATAATTAGACTGCGTTTGTTACTATTTTGTTACTATATTTTAAAATTCAATTTGAAACATACTTTAAACATTTTTTTTTGTGTTACAGGTGTCTTACCTGTATTTGTAATATTTGTCTTATCTTACCTGTATTTGATTACGATTACAGTGGCTGTGTACACTCATTCAATCATGATAATCAATCAGTCAATCACGATGATCTACATACGCAAATCTGCAAACTTAAAATATTTTAAGAAAACCGAAGATTTTAAAGAAACACATTACAATAGGCAATAATTTGTTCATAAATTTCAAATATTTTAAGAGAAGCAAAATCTTGACAATTTCTATAGGCCTAATTTACTTATTTATTGGCTAAGATCATACAGACTCTCAGAAAGATTACAATAATCGGAAGAAAAAAAAAAAAAATCACAAATATATAATTATCCATGGCAATTTTATGAATGACACATGTTCAAAATTCGCAAAACTAAGATTGGTTTAAAAGAGGTTTCACGAAGGATCAATTTTAGTCAATAATTTCCGTAAATATAATTTCTTTCGGAAAAAATTGCGACTATTATTTATGCGTAAATAAAGCGATAAACGATATAAGAAAATTA